TATATTTACTTATGCGAATAGTATGTTTTTCTTTCATAAGCTCCTTGTAGACAGTAAAGGGTCGACCATTTCAATTTCTGGGGAGAAGGGAAGTAGAATTTTGAAAATGAATAACTTGGCCTGGTAAGAATTGAAAATAAAACCGTGGAAACAAAATCAGCATGCGTAGCAACAGATCTAGATAAAAATAAATTATCAATCCGGAAAAATTCTCCCCTCCAGAATATCAAATGATTGTCCCTTAATTATATTACAGCTCTTCTATAAAAGCATGCAAAGCAAACCTTTGATCAACTTGCTTGCTATGTTTGTTTGGATGTTTGTAAACAAAAGGTAGGTAGTCTGTTTCAGTCTGTTTACTGTATACTGGAATGTGATTGGACAATAAACATAACTTCATTGCATGTCAATTTTTATTGTCTAATCAAATTCCAGTATATACAAAACAGACTGAAACTCCGCCTACCTATTGTTTGCAAACATCCAAGCAAACATAGCAAGCAAGTTGATCAAAGGTTTGCTTTTCATGCTTTTATAGAAGAGCTGTAACGGTACCAATTATACTGCACTAGATCTGCATTTCGACAATTATAAATGTACCTTCAGTGATGCACGAGAACGAAATATTTGAAAATACAAAAAATATTCAAAAATTGAAAAGCTTATAAAAACAAAAAGGACAAAAAACTATAGTCAATGTTGGGAAAGGAATCAGATCTTTGCATGATAGGAATTATTTCTTGGTTTAAAATTATTTCCTAAATTTGGTGACAGCAAATTTCAAGAAAACAATATCCGTATGTTCATTCCGGTACCTAAGTCCTGGTTAATGTGCTGGTGATAATAACATTTGTTGCAGTTAATTTGGACTTAATCGATCACTTTTTTATATGTGAACAAGAGTTCTGAGAGAATTGCATGGCAATACATACATATTATAGTCCCCTACGGGTTAAAAATCCGTCATACTGGAATAAAAAATTATCTTTAGCTTGTCATGGTTAAACTATATAACAAATATCAAATTAATATATTCAAGCATGACGAGAAAAAGTGTGGAAAACTGATTATTTGCGTGATTTTTTTTAAGTCGGAACAAATTTCGTACTTGATCTGCAACTTGTCATAATAAAACTGTATACCAAATATCAAACCAATATCTTCAAACACGAAGAAATAAATTGCGGAAAACTTATTACTTGCGTGAATTTTCAAAGTCCAAGGATCATAACTCTGCACAGAATCATCAGATCGGAACAAAATTCAAACTTGTTCTGTAACTGGTCATGATACAGCGTAAAACGTTATACCAAATATCAAATCAATATATGAGGAGAAGTTACCGAGCATTCCTTTGTCAAGCGTTAAACTATCTTAGGGAGTGAAAAAAAAACAGAAAAAAACAAGACGAACAGATTATGGGTTTTTTTGCGTATTAATATCGTAAAATAAGACTCCGCTCGATATAGTGTGGAGCTTCTTTGTTCGTTCGCTACGCTCAATCGCCAAAAATTTTACATTGTTGCTCGCAGCTTACATTTTGCAATAACAATGTGAAGACAACCCGATAATCTATACACGTCACTGTCGACATCAATAAGGTCGTCGAAAAAAATATCAAACTATTCAAACAAACTAAAGTACTATAAACGTATGTATAATCACCGATTTTGACAAAGTTATTGATGTCTAAAAAAACTTTAACGACAACAAAACAATAACTGTATGTTCATTTCGGTACCTAAGTACTGGTTAATGTAATGGTGATACCCTCGACGACTAACAGTCCACCAGCTGAGGTGTCGACCCGATGGTAGGAATTACATTGACCGTACCAATTTTACTGCACGTAATGCGCATTTGGACAATAAATGTTTCTCCAGTGATGCTCTAGGGCATGTTTGAAAATTCAAAACTTATTCAAAAATTGAAGAGCTGATAAGAACAAAATGGACAAAAAGTATAGCCAAAGCCGGTGAAGGAATAAGAGCAGTGCATGAGGGATATATATTCCTTATTTCAAAATAATTTCCAAAATTTTGTAACAGCAAATCTCAATAACACAATACCCGTATTTTCATGTCAGTGCCTAAGTACTGGCTAATTGGACCCTCGGAGACTAGTAGTCCATCACCAGAGGTAATGACAGACATTGCTTTGTATTTCAGATTCTGAATTTCTGTTGAGCAAGAGTTTTGATCTTGTTTGGGCTGTGTGACATAAAAATTTAATGAAAGTGAGGGGTTTTTTTTCTGACCTGGTAGTAGGACATTGACCTGATGTTCGGTGTTAGCACAGACATATATCGCGTATATTATATGTTTCTGGTATTGAATAACAATATATTACAGATATAACATCAGTGTTGATCTAGTGGACGTACTACGTTTTACTTAATGCCGAATCTTGTACTAAAGTTAAAAAGAGTTTCCTTTGCGGTATCAGTCCTCCTAATCGATTTTGAATATGTAATTTGTTTTTATGTTAGTCGAACGTTCTACTTTCTTCAGGATAAACTACCAGTACAGTTCATTGATTCTAAACACGGACACTGAAATACATTAGTAACATTTGCTTGCAGTTACTTTGTGACTTATTCAGTCACTTTATATATATATAAACAAGTCTAAATTGAAAACAACGTTCAAACCTATGATTGCGTTGGATAAAAACAGCAATTTTTATACGTGTGCATGCAAAACAAATTTCTTGGTAGAGGGGTCTAAATACAGCACAAACAACATTTTCCAAAAGACCAAATAAGTGAAAAAGTATATTTTAACGAAACCATTTGACTAGCAGATCGAACAACTGATGTTCTTAAACCCTACTGAAAAAGGACACGTGTGGAATACGTCAATGAGAAAGCAACTATAACGAAACAATTAACTAAAATACATCTAGGGGGTCTGTATGTTCTGCTCTGTTCTGAATAAGAAAGCATTTAACTGCTATACTGGAACTGTTGATATTAATTTTCAACACTGCACTGCGTAGATTAAACCAAGACTAGTCTGGTTAAGGTTGGTCTTTTGGTACTATCCGGTTTTTGTCTGAATGTGGGTTTTTTTATGCTCTATCAACATAGTGGATAATTTCTAAACATATGACCAAAAAACATGAAAGCTAAAACTGCACTTTTCAATGCTTTTTAACTTTTCAGGCATAGTGGTGGGATGAAGGCTTGTATAAATTGATGCCAATAAACATAAGAATAGATATGTTGTATTCCCAATCACAAACCAATCTAGAGGCTTCAAAGAACCTGTATTGATCACCTGTCTCTTACACATAACACTGATTGAATAAGAAACAAATGTATCACAAGAATATTACAAAGGTACCATAAATCTGAAAGATAATAGACAAAACCATATCAACAAATCTGATACAAGGAGAACTAACAAATTGCATTTTTTTTTCTATTTTTACTTACAGAAGCAGCTATTAGTGATTTTGATTTCATACATATTTTTTTTCATGTTAAGAAGTTATTTGTCCATTTCATCATTTATTAGACTATTTTATAGATTTTTGTGAAAAATTTAAGCAGTTTAGGTCACCAACCAAAATTTTGAAGAGGATCATGAATGTATTATTTGTACAAAGTTTTGAAGCAATTGGTTAGACACAAAATTTCAAAGAACTTTTTATCCCATTTTAATTTTCCACTTTTGATAATGATAGTGGTCATGTTTAAAGGTAATCAACCACATTTTTCAGATGTGGTCATTAATTTCGACTTTCCTAAAGTTTGTCACCAATATGGCTTTTACAGAGCTTTATGGTTTTTCTCTCAAATTATATTCAATTATGTTCCACTTTAGGTAATATTGATATTTTTTGTTGATCTGCAGGAGCATCTGATATTATTTTAAAATTCTACACCCTTCAAATAATTATGACAAAATTTTTATATCAATTAGTCTCAGAGAAGATTTTTTAAATTTTCATTAGATAACTTACACCCAATGATAAGATAATTAACACTGCTTAAGGTGAGCAAGAAATGGGAAGGTCAAATAGTAATATATTAATAATAAACTGCTCAAACAGTTATATGTCTCTCCAGTGTGTATTTAAGATAGTTTAATGCAAATGTTGAAATTTATATGGCAATTAACAATTTAACATGTAAACTATTGAAAAGTTTCAAAGTCATTAGATCTTAACTTAGGGGGCAGGGTTAAATAATCTCAAAGAGATGTGCCAATGGTAATATGATACAACTGCCCTCCAAAATGATTGACATACCATTAGTGGTTCAAATTAAACTGCCCAATCATAAACTTTAACATGTCAACTATGGAAAAGTTTCAAAGTTAATGGACCATGACTGAGAGTAACAGGGCACAATAATGAGATGTGTCTATGGTACATGTGATACAACTGCCTACCAAATAACATTGACTTAGCATCAATAGTTCCTTTTAACATGAAGTAATCACAAATTTAACCAATTGTTGACATGGCTATCTTGGTCCATGCCTAAACAGACTGCCCAAGTCTCATCTCAAAGACATTGTCTAGGTGAGACAAACATTTTAATTTAAATTGAACTTTTGAACTAAATTATTGTATTTGTGTAAATATGAAAAGTCAACAACAAAGGCATCAATGTGGGTAAACTTCTTAACGTATTTGAACCGTAAAGATTTGCTTAGTTGTGTTTTTGTCTTGTAAATACTAAACTTCACAGAATAAGAATGGAGGGATACCTGTGGTGTTATTACCAGGGTATATGCATTTTTAGGGTGAGATCATGCATGGTTGAAAGGTAACAATCTAAAGGAAGACATGTCACCTTACCTTGACACATAATTCTAACTCACAAGTCTACCCCTCTTTGTTCTTTGCTAATGGAGAAGTAGCAAAATGCCTATTTAAAGTCTTTCGTTTGAACCAGCCAGGGATTTTAAGAAGTTTTAGCAGACAAAACTATCTATTTGGGAAGATCTGGACTGAACTGTTTTGATTGGCAATAAAACAATGCTAGTGTGGTCAGTTTAGTTACTGGCAAAACAGCTACTTTATTTTGGCCTAACACAATCAGCCAATATTTGTCAAATAAGCTAATGACAATAACAGTTTCCAATCAAATAAGTAAATTGTTTCTTGATATGTTGTAAACAATCTGATTAAAATCTGATCTCTCAATATGTTCTGTAAGATATTTTTCACCTATGTTTAAGATCTGAAAACATCCAAAAAGGAGACATGTTTAGATGACCTTTCATGCAAATTGTTCTTCAACCAATCAATTTGAGTGACATGCTGGCACTTTGATTTCAAAATTTTCCCTGTAAACAAGATGGACACAATTGAATCAAAATTTTTTCGAGTTATATTGATTAAATGTTTATTGACTTGCAATTTATTATATTAAAACAAAATGTATACAGCAATTTACTGTTTTGCTATGTTGAGAAATGTTTCCAATTAGATTGTTGCATTAAAAAATCAGAACTATCTCAGGAATTGAATGGTTAAAAGATATAATTTTAGGAAAACACTTAAGAGTTTATCAGATAATAGATGTGGTAGTCCATAATAAAAAATATATTAAAACCTTTGTGGGAAAATAATTCATTGGATGTTAAAAGGTTACTGACCATAGCCCCTTACATGAAGATCTTACACAGGGCGACAAACAAATTGGACCGTAGCCCCTTTACATGATGTTTTCAGATCTTACACAGGGCGACATACAAATCAGATCATAGTGAAAGATCAAATTTTAATCAGGTTGTGTTATAAAAGCTTATTTCATGAAAAGAAAAAAAAAAGGAAAAATATAAAATGAGAAATTTTGTTAAGAAAATACATATAATGCAATAAAGCCCAACCAGCTGTACATTAAAAATCTGATTTACAATAAAAACAAGTAACAATACTACATTTTGAAGTCATTAACTGCTCGGTCCAGGTTGGTCATTTGGTCCTGAAAAAAATAAATTTTATTATTAAAACATAGATTTTATAAATAACCAATAATAATATAATAATAGAAAAAGAATGAAACAAAAAACTCTAGTTAGATTGTCACAATTAACCTGCATGCATCATGAGGTGAAAATAAATTATTCACATTATAAATTTTTTGTTTATACTCTTGTGCAGTTTCATATGCTCATTAAATTCATCCAAAATCTGTATCTGTTGAAGGATATACTCTATTTAGCAGTGATGCAAAAGAGTCTACATTGCTAAATTGGTGGTTTTCCAAACCGTAAAATTCAAAATAACTTACTTAGGAAAAAGGGAAATAAAGCATGTTTATATTTTCTGACTTAAAATGTATATAAAGGTTCATTATTACTGCTTGTTCTAAATGGGCCATAAGGAAATGTATATGGTTAGGACCTCTGACTTTTTCATTTTCAATTTAACATTTAATAAAATTACAATTCACTACTCTATATAGGACTGAGTAACAAAACGAAAAAGAACAAGCCTCCATGGCCAAAATAAAATCACTGTACATAAAAAAAATTGTAAATTATTCCATTACCCAGTACTTGTAGTTTTTTTTAAATTCTCTTATTGTAAGGAACATTTAATCAAATACCTGCTAAAATTAATTGAACAGTTTCAAAATGTGAAAATTGTATGTACAAAAAACACAATACTAAAATTAATAACTCACAATGGACCTCTATGCATTGTGGGAGTAAAATCAGAAATAAAATTATGACTTGCTTGGAACAGAAGTAACTGTTTGGCCTCAATAGTAATATTTATACCTGATCCTTGATCATGATCATGTTTGAAGCATTTGTCTTTATGTCCATGACAATTACATGTGAAGTCATCATCATCTTCATCTGATGACTCTCCAAACATTTTTGGTTTCTCGTAGACGCAACAACCTGAATTAAAATAAATACAAAGTTTGGAAGTAAAAAAATAAAGGATGAACAGTCTAGTAAATTGAACAAAAAAAAAATATCAACAAAGTCAAAAACCTTCAAATCGTCTTTTAACCAATTTACATGTAGAAGAATTACAATTACTAATTTACAAGAAAGAATCAGCATGGATGTGCAGAATGTATAAATAGACTAAATATATGCAGTCACATCTCGTCTGCATCAAGGAAAATATACCACCAAACAAATACTACTATTAATATTACATGAAACAAAATTCAAAATTTAAAATACATATGTAATATCAAGACTATCAACACTCACCAGAGGTCACATATTGAATAATTCTACATTGGTCTAAAGGACCAGTAGTCATTCATTTTAGAAGTTCTAATTCTGGGCAAATTTACAAGTGCCAGTTTGAGTTAGAAATGATTTACTGACAAAAAAGGGATTGTCAACAATAACTCAACTGGATTTCCTGATAATGTATTATCACAGACACTGTTACAACACCAAGTTCAGTGGTCAACTAACAGCTCGTCTTTTGTATGACTTCCATTTCACAGGCACTGTTACAAATCCAACACACTCAACGAAAAATGTCTTCTTTCATAAGACTTCCATTTCACAGGCACTGTTACAAATCCAACACACTCAAAGAAAAATGTCTTCTTTCATAAGACTTGCATTTTACAGACACTGTTGCAAAACCAACTACAAAATATAACTCAACTAAAAGCTCTTTTTCTATTTAACTTACATTTCACAAACAATGTTACAAAACCAACACACTCAATTAAAAGCTCTTCTCCCATATGAATTACATTACACAAACACTGTTTCAAAACTAACACACTCAATTAAAATATTTTCTCCCATAAAACTTGCATTTTACAGATACTGTAACAAAACCAATATACTCAATTCAAATGTCTTCTTTTATATGACCTTCATTTCACAGACACTGTTAAAAAACCGACACGCTCAACTAAAAGCTTTTCTTTCGTAAGAGACACTGTTACAAAAACCAACTAACTCAATTAAAAGCTTCTCTTTCAAATGAGACACTGTACATTTTACAAGCCTGACTCACTTGCAATTAACTAAAAACTCTTATTTCACATGACTTACATTTCACAAATAATGTTAAAAAGACAACTTACTCAACTATACATTTCTTAATGCTCTACTATTAACTGACTTACATTTGGACTTTTTCTTATTTAGATGTTCATTATCTACAGTTTCTGTAGTCCACTTGACTTTCTTATCATTCTTAGGCTTTCTTAGCTTCAAGTGTAGTCTTGGACTGGCCCGAGTCTGTAATCAATGATAATGAATTAAATTTGATATATATCTTTATTGTCATGTCATACTACAAATATAAATTAGTATGTGAGATTGTCAATTCTTTTCCTTCTTAATTACTTGGGTGAAAAAAAAAATTCACTATTATAAATGCAAATCTACAATGAACAGATTTCAATAAAGAAATTTCAGTTAATTGATTGCTGTTGGCTTATTGTCAAGTGGCAAATATTTCATGCATATTCAGGATGTATAAAGATAACAGAAGCAATTTTGAAGATCTTCCAATTTCTACTAGGCATTCAGGTTTACAGTAAGGTAAAAAAATATATACATCTGTTTCTAGTCTTCCCGGCCACCCACCCTATCATATGCTTGATTGTCATCCGTAAAACATTTCATTGCAATGCCAAAAAATTATCAAATAAATAAAACTTGTGTCATCAGAATACACTACAAATCCTATTTTCACCGTCTGATATATAAAAAATAATAACATTTTTGTTTTTGATACTGACTTTATCAGCAAGAATATCAAGAAAGCCCTCTAGGGCGAGCTGATAAAGTCAGTATCCAAAAGTAAAAAGCTATTATTCTTTTAAGCAGTAATTTGTTTTAATAATATGTTTTTTTGGTCAAGAATATGAAATAAAATGGATTAGTTAGTAAAACTACTTTTACGTGTACAAAACATTGTGATAGTTATTTGTTTGTATGAATGAACTTGTGTGCACTTCATTGATAAATGGACGTTGCTGCACTGATTTGTGACGTCATTGCCTAATATTTTGGAGTATCAAGTCCTGTCCATGATCTAAACAAATATTAGGCAATTAAATCAAAGAAAACTAAACTCAGAAAAGAGAAATTGCATTGAAGTTCCATTGTATATGTTAGAATTACTGGATGCTTAGTGTAAATTGGAATTTCGATTTGAATTTTGCCAATAAGAAAAAAAATTACATTGTCTTGTTAGTTACATACCCATAGGCGGATCCAGGGGGGGTTCTGGATCCGCCACTGATACCTTTTCAACAAGAAACGTTTAGCCATCTAAAAACTATCTTATGAAGAAAAGAAAATAGATGGACATCGTAACTAACCCAGATACATAACTACATAAAAGTTTTCTGAAATGTTGAAATGTGCCTTTGTTCATTGTTCAAAGCAAAGATATATTGTAATATATATCTCTGTTCATCATGTTCATAGGTACTTGTTTTTATCAATTGTTATATAATTACCAGGTTGACTTTTCATACAAATATTATGTCAACCCTTGCCTTGATGTTTTGGGGTTTTATTTTATTTTATTTTATTATTCTATTTTGTTTATTTTATTTTTGTTGCATTTATCTTAGATTAAGTTTGTTTATTAATTTTTTTTTTAATTACTTTTGTTTATCAAGAAGTTTTATTTTTCAAACACTCATACATGTACAAATATACCTTCATGTAGTACTGTTCAACTGTGGGTACACATGTATTTACATTGATTTAACAGTTCAGCACTAACACAATGCAACTAAACTAAAATTTTACAGTTAGGGATTATTTCATATGGGCACACTGGGTTAAATGTAAATCTTGATTGAAATTCCAAATATTGAACTTTCTCAGGCATCGGACATTGTCAGACATGTCAGATTTAATAACATCAGTATTCTCGATACAAGAGGTTTCAGCCACACTGCCAGTTTGGCCATACTTTGTAAAGTCATTTCGACCATGTTTTTTTTTGTTATAAACATGATAAAGAGAGGAAAATATAATTGTTTCTGTATTTTTGGAAAGTCGTTTTGGCCATTCTTTTTTTGTTATAAAGGGAGGAAAATATAATTGTTTCTGTATTTATTATAACAGCTCTAGTCTCTTTTCTTGTATGAAAGTGAGCCATATGAGTGTTTGTATAACAATATGTGAATATTTGTAGGGAAATGGCTGGGTGAGTCATGGTATGTGAATGTTTGTATAAAAATGTGCAAGACATGTGGGTGTTTGTTTAAAATATTGTGTGAGTGTTGGTATGTTCAGTGGTTGTCGTTTGTTTATGTGTTACATATTTGTTTTTCTTTCATTTTTTGTACATAAATTAGGCCGTTAGTTTTCTCGTTTGAATTGTTTTACGTTGTCATTTCGGGGCCTTTTATAGCTGACTGTGCGGTATTGGCTTTGCTCATTGTTGAAGGCCGTACGGTGACCTATAGTTGTTAATTTTATATATAATCATACCACATCTTCTTTTTTATATAAGTTTCAAATTGTGCATAAATCATTGTTAATGTTTTGTGTATGTTGTTTGTTATATATACATTATATTATTATCCACAATACTGTCTGATGTCTGAATAAATGAATAAAATACAAAACACAATGTAGTCTTTATTTTTTATAGACAAAAGTAAGAAGATGTGAAAAATTACAAGTCATCACAAAATCCATAATGTATAGTTCAATTATAAAAGACTCTTGTATGCCTAAATTTGAAATAAAGGTCAATAAGAGTTCAATGCTGTTAGAATCTGGTGGTGCCTATCAATCTCAATACACTCTTTAGATGCATTAGATGCAGTCGTCGGTGTCCATGTTTCTCATACTTATGTTTGTTATGGAACAAATTTTAAGATGATTATAATCGATTCAATTTTATATATATATTTGGATATATACTTTCTTTCATCCAAGAATGACAAATTGTTTATTTTCTATTCTCTGCTATAAAAATTTTCTATTATCTGTTATAAAGGATATCTTAATCAAGCATCAAAGTATATGTATGAACATTATGAAATAGTGTGACTGAATCGACTATGGCTGACTGGTACTGTGACCAAACTGGTTGTGTGGCTGAAACATCTCGAAAGCAGTATTCTGACTTGACTTGGATGAATATTTAAACATCCCACAGAGAAAAACAGAGCCCCTTGCATGTAAGTGTTACCCCTCAGCCAGTTTAGGTCATGTATGAACATGAATATTCTATTTTCTTGACTCCTATGAGGTCAAGAAAGTTGTGAAAAAAACATTTAATTCTTCTTTGCCTTGTGGAGAAATGAAAATTTGTTCACCCTAAAAAAATCCTATGTTTTTTAGGACATCAACAGGTTGGATGCAACTTGCCAATTAGGGAATATTTCCTAAAAATAATCAAAATCCCTCATTTTGGGAATAATTTGTAAGTGATAAAATGATTTTTTTAGCCATCTTTTTCTTAAAATGGTATCAATTTATAGGAAATGAAACAGTTTTTCCTAAAGAACAACAATTACTTTTTGTTTAAAAAAGGTTGCTTTGAACAGGTTACAGAAGATTCACGTAATTGGGTACTATAAAATTGAGAATGGAAATGGTGAAAGTGTCAAAGAGACAACAACACGACCAAAGAGCAGAAAACATCCGAAGGCCACAATGGGTCTTCAATACAGCGAGAAAATCCCGCACCCGGAGGCGTGCTTCAGCTGGCCCCTAAACAAAAATATGTACTAGTATAGTAATAATGGACATCATACTAAACTCCGAAATATATAAAAGAAACTAAAATTAAAAATCATACAAGACTTACAAAGGACAGAGGCTCCAGACTTGGGACAGGCGCAAAAATGCAGCGGGGTTAAACATGTTTTTTTGAGATCTCAACCCTCCCCTATACCTCTAGCCAATGAAGAAAAAACAAACACACAGCAATACGCACAGTAAACATGGTAAAACTGTTTAAAAGAAGCCTGAGTCCAATGTCAGAATAGGTAACAAAAGAAACTAAACAAAATGACAATGAAACATAAATTAACAAAGGACTTAACTAGCAGTTACTGACATGCCAGCTCTGGACCTCAATTAAACTGATTGAAAGATTATGCATGTCTTCATCATATGAATATCAAGCACAATCCCTTTTCCCCATTTGTGGGTAATATACCCAAAATAGATATCAATTTACAGTGATAAAAACTTAAATTTAGTATTTAATCTTAATGGCTGTCATGGCGCTAATATTCATATAATTGGCAACAGTTTCCCCTTTAACATGTTTAAAGACCATAGTTCAAATGAGAACTGAACATGCTGAATACAAATATAATGGCCTCCAAAAATCCTACTTTTTCAAAGCTATTAACTTTTTATCAAGTAATTCCAGTCATGGGGTCTTTATGCACAATGTTGTCATTTACCTGAATGTTTGCGCCATGACAGCAAATATCTTGAATTCCAAAGTTTATATTTTTCATTATTGAAAATTGATACATGTTTAGAGGGGATAATTATAAAAATAAGAAGATATGGTACAACATGTATGATTGCCAATGAGACAACTCTCCACCAGAGACCAAATTACAAAGAAGTTAACAACTATAGGTCACAGTACGGCCTTCAATAATGAGTAAAACCTATAATGAATAGTCAGCTATAAAAGGCCCTGAAATGACAAATAACAGGCTATTATTTGAACTTGGAATTATTTTCAATTATGGAATTTGCATAATTTCTTGTGCTTGAAATTTTTAATAAATTCCATGTTTATTTGGTATTATAATGTTTTGAGCAGTTCATAACACTTCTCATACAATGTATTTTGTATAGATAGTGTTGTGCGCGGCACAGTACATTCTATTGAAAATGTACTATCTTCTTTGTAATAGAAAGTGTTGTGCGCAGCACAGAACATTAAAGTCCAATTAAACATGGAATTTATTAAAAATTTCAAACACAAGAAATTATGCAAATTCCATAATTAAAAATAATTCCAAGTTTAAATAATAGCCTGTTAAATGTAAAACATTATTCAAACGAGCAAACAAACGGCCTGATTTATGTACAAACATGACAAAACAATGAACAAAAAACAAATCCCAAGATATAATATACAGCAACAAGCAACAACCACTGAATTACAGGCTCCTGACTTGGGACAGGCACATACAGAATGTGGCTGGGTTAAACATGTTTGAGAGCCCCAACCCTCCCCTAAGTCATGCCTAGCCTGGGACAGTGGTGTAACAGCACAACATATGAACGAACTATAAAAATCAGTTGAAAAGGGCTCAACTCATCAGATCAATAGTAAGTAGAACATTGAACAAGTAAAAAAAACACGGGCTGGACATGGCCAGGTATTAATATATCCCTACAACAAAAAGACACTATAAAGTACAGATCTGAGAGTACAAATATGGTCAAATCATATGTTTTCGTACCTCATATGAATTCGTACTATGCATGCTTTTTCAATGGAAATTGTGACGTCACAATGCATCCTTAATTAAGTACGAAAACCCATGAGACAAGGATATATACATTGTACTTGCAGTTACTGACAGCTAGTTCAAAGCCAATAACAACTAATAAAAAACCGGTATCTAAGTCTCAAACATCATTTAGTACACTTCCAACATCCAATGGATTTAGTGTAAAGATGTCTTTGACAGTCAGAGAAAAACAGGATTTATGTCTCTGGCTCAACCTGGTAAATTTTCTTAGATCATTGTAGATGAACAAATCTTTATAAAGTCTCCTCAGATTGAAAGACAAGTCACAGTGTCATTTACCTCTTGAGTTTCAGCTGTTAAAACAACCGAAGGACTGGCTGCTTGGGCAGACGCCTCAGCCATTTACATAGCCCTTCTTTACTGAACCTATCTGATGTTTGTTGATCTTTTTTCTATCGATGAGTTATGGTTCTTAGTCATTTCGTGTAATCAATTATGCACACAGGAAACCGATCAATAGTTTATTATAAATCTAGCTTATCCACAAAGACAAAAATCATAAAGATACAAAATAATCATAAGGCCTAAATGTATTGAAAATATAGGATTTATTTTCTGGTTTCAGTTCTATGAGTGTGGTAAATTATCTGGAAATTTAATCACGGAAATTAATCAGTGTTATCGACATTTGTCCGGATTTTTTTTCCAGAATCAACTTCCTGTTTTGCTGTCAACCCCTTCTTTCTTCATCACCTGACAAACAAAATGATACACAGCCTTTTTATTATCAACAACAGCGGGTACTTTTTTCTCAGATAGAATTACTATACCCACTTTTTTATTGTATTCTAAACAGGAAACAGAACAGATAGATTATCAAAATTCAGTCAGAGTGCCAACATATTATGACAACATCACCAACTTTTAATTTTAAGATATGAATAAAGTTGACAAAATTGAATAAAATCACCATAGAAGACCAACTCCCAACCGGAAAAAAGAGGAGAAAATCTAATAATAATGAATAGTTCTACATTCATGACATTTTCAGAATGTGCTCTGAAGTAATCAAGTTTACAAATATTAAGAAGCTTAATAATATGAGGACAAAGACCTCAATAACAGTAGAAGAATCAATTATTAATGTTAATAAATATACTTACGAGTCCAAAACCGGTAACTTTTTTTCAGCCTTCCATATTCCTGCAGAAATCCTTTTTTGTTTCTGTCTTCCAGTATCTTGGGACTTTGTGTAAAACATCATAAAGAGGAATAAGAGTTCTCACAATTTCCTATCAGATTACATTATAAAGGAGCAGGGATCCCCCATGACCTATTGTAATGTGGCAGTTCGCCACACTTAAAGTCCAAGCGCCAGCCTTAAATTCCCAGCGCCACTTGGATGCTTATTTTGTTGTCCGCCACACTTAAAAAAATCCATAGATTGTAGTTAAATACCAGATACCTGTAATCCAATTATCATGTCAGTAGCAATTAAGAATTTCAATAAGTGTTATTTGGATGGAAAACTGCCTCAAGGGTTTAAATCGACTGTTGATTGCATTTATTTACATTGTCTTACATGGTAGAACAAGTTTCTGAATGTGACCATTCAATGATCAAATTAAATCAGAAATGTTGCAAACATGTCATAATCAAAGGCAAAAATTGTGTGTTTACTTTTGTTGACAGCCATGTGCTTTTTTGTTGGAAAATATGGTAAAATCCCTACATCAAAGACAACATTGAATCTGGTTATTTATAGCCAGTAAATAATTTCAATCTGACAATTTTAATAAACAGCTGAGATCAGAGTGCCATTTAAATTTATTCAAATAATGAAAATTATATGTATTATCTGAGTAAAAGAGTGAAGCTGCTAATACTTGTATATACTTACTTTACATACATTTTTTTTGGGGGGAGGGGGGGGGTGGTTAGGATTTTATAATATTGTCATTTTATATTACAAATCTTTAAGGTAATATGAATTTTACTAGTCTGAGCAGACTTGTTTGAAATGGCTATGAAATTCTGAAAAATGTGTTTTTTCTAAAATTATTTTATCCTTTCTATCAAACCTTGTGGTTCATTAGGCAACTGAAATTAAATCTAAATTTTCATGAAAGGAAGCTTCTTGAAATTGTTATTTAAACTAAAATTTTATCATATGAAAAGCATTTTATGGATCCCATTTTTCCCTAAAGTCTGAGCCATATTAATGGGTCTTCACTTCTACCTGTTTAATACATTGTAGCTCCATAAAAGTGTGGTGACCATAAATAGGACCAATTATACAAGATTCAACCTTTAAATTAGATAGATACATGTATGTCAACAACTTAGAAGCCACAACAAATCGGGGACAATTTTTTTCCGTGGAGCAATACGATCAAATGCACCACGTCATCTGAAACTTGTTGACCTTTCTCCTCCACCCTTGGTTTTCATTCTGTGGTGAACCCTAAGGAGCATACAATTTGTCACAATTTTGTAGATATGATTTTTACCAACATGTAATATGAGGCAGGTGTTTCCTGTGAAAGATGTGGAATCTTATGTTTATTTAAATTAAAACAAGTCTTTAATGCTGATTCAACATACAATTTTATAAGATAGGAAACAAATGCAAAATGAGTTTCAAAGAAAACTCACCTGATAGATAATGGAAATTTTTGTAAATAAAGATTAAAAACATGCTGACGTGTCCATGGTGTCTAATTTTTCCAATTTCATGTTTGTTCAGGGGTGAAACTTAACTTTGTAAGGCCAGTAGCCAGCTGGGCTACTAGACTTGAAAATCAGTTAGCCCAGACAAAAAGTCAGTAGCCCACTTTATTTCACTATGAGTATCACCGGTGAAGCCCGCAAAGCGGGCTGAACTTGCTAGGGGGGTTTGGGGGCATCCCCCTCCCCCCCAAGAAAATTTTGAAATTTAAGAGACAAAACCCTGCATTCTGAGCATACCTGGAGGTGATTTAGATGCTTGGGAAAATGTAAATTTTGTCTTATTTTTGTTGTTGACTTCAATCAAATTTAATAAAAAAAAAATCATTTACAAAATTGGAATCTTCATGCCCTGTGTACCAGTTTTTTTTAAATATCTTTTTAAGACAACTAAAGAATTCTCTGTCCTTAAATACATGTAGATGATCGATGAAATATTTAATTTTATTTCTTTAATAATCTAATTTATTAAATATCTTGATCGATTTATTTTGCGTAACTACGTACATTTGTAAACAAATGACCCACCTTTTTTCCCAAAAGACTTGTACACGTATTTCAAAAGCATTGTCATAAAATTGATATCTCCTCTGATTTTTTCTTTTTTGTAAACTGATCAGTAAGTAGGAAACTAAAATCAATATTCTACTTTCGTTTTTGACTTTCATTCTCTGGACACCACGTGGGCTTTGAAAAGGGAACTACAAAAGGTACTGTTTTCCAGATTCTTAACAACATTATATATTATATGTTCTTTTATTTGACTGATATTATTTCATAACATGCTATTGTCATCTTCTCTGAATTTCTTCGCTTTCTTGAAGCCAAAACAGAACAGGGTATTTGATCACTTCATATTGTAAATTACCATCGGAACGTCTCTCTTGTTATCCTTGCAAACATACGATACTTTCCGGACTTTAAATAGACGACCAATCAGTGACCTGAATTAACATGAACTATATTTAGTCAAAGGTAAACACTGATTTTACATCCTTGTTTATCGCGACTTTGCGACAATACGACTCTCGACACTTGCCTGTTTACATTTTAAAAATATTTTTTTTCTTTTTGAATTTATATTTTTGTCAGTGAAGTAGCCAGCACTTGGAGCCACAATAAACAGCGGATTTCCGTCTGTCGAGTACTTTGTTTTCAATTCGCCACCTGGGCTACCACGACTGAATAAAAAGATCGCCCAGGTCAATTTCTGGTCGCCATGGGCGACTGGGCGACCGTTAAGTTTTTTCCCTGTTGTTTAATACATACAATGTAGATAATATAAGTTATCTACGTTCATATCCGTAGATATGGATATTTTAACACCCTGAAGTATCCAAGTACATCCTGAGGCGATGCACAAAATAAAAAACAAAAAGATTTCCTTAGTAATATTTGAACAAATAAGTAAGCCTGTTTTACATGGCTAGCTAACACTTCTCCTCTTTCACAGGTAGCACTTTTCTCATATTAGACCAATCTCAATTTGTTTTTTATGAATAAGTTGCAACCGTGCCAAAGGTTGAACTGAGATCAACCTGCGTAAATGACATAATTTAACAATCAGTTCTTTCTGTGACAGAAATACATAAGCATTGTAACATAGAAAATGTACTGGAAAGTGCACGAATTGGACAGTTATTTTTAATTTAAAGTCAGCAAGATATTAGTAACAATACAACATTAGCTCTAATTGAGATTTTAAACTGACAAAAAAATTCATGAGCAAGTTGCAAAGTGTGTTCAACTTGGTACTTTGTGGGTACTCCTGATGTATTAAATAAACATTTTGCCATTTAAAAAAATATATTTGAAGAAAGTCTGTCAATAAAAACAGATATGTTGCAGTGATATTTTTGTTTTGGTTTCTTTTCAGTGATGTATTTATGGAAAAACATTGGAAAAGTGTAATACATAAATCCATATGTGATTACTTTTTCGAAGTCCAAAGCAAGGTATGAAATTTAAAAAAAAGTATGGCTACTTGTTGGAAAAATTTTCTGCATATTGTTGTTTTATTTTATTTTTTTTCCAAACAAATGCAAATTATTTTTCTTTTAGGATTGACATCATTGTAATGAGCAAGTTTTATCTGGTTTCTAGTCTAAACATGCAGATGACAAGTATTTTGATAAAATAATAGAATAATAAAACTCTTAAGTTGAGAGTTCTTAATATAATAGCACAAAAATTAAGACTTAAATCATCTATATACTTGTTCAGGTAGTCAGGTGAAACAAAGAAGAGTGTGATTGAAATGACTGTACTCATACATTGATGACCTGTGCTGGTTTTTGTTTGCATATCTATCATTTTTGGTTATAGGCTGTATCTGCAGATGATGTTCCACCAGTTATTCCTACACCTCATCATTATCTGATAAATATCTACAGGAACCAACTGTACTTTGTTGCTGTGGTAACCACAGAAGGTAATTTTACTGTTTTTTGTCGAGCTTGCAGCATTTATGTCGCGAAAGTGAGACAAAGCGATCCTACATTCGTTGTCTTTATTCAGGCTCAGTCTGTGGTTAAAGTTTTTTCAGACATCAATAACTTTATCAAACCTGCATGAAAGTTTGTGAAATTTGGACAGAAGTTTTTTATGACCAAAAGACAGTATCCAGACCATTATTATGAAAATATTTATTTTCATTTTTACGTCTTTTACTGATAAATGGACTTATTTTTTACAATTAACTTTTAGATACAGTCCAAGGTAAAAGTTTTTCAGTCATCAATAACTTTGTCAATTCTTCATGGAATTTTATGTAAGTTG